CTGACGATATTGGCTGGTTTGGTTTGGCGTTGTTCTTGTTTTCTTTAAAAAAGATTAGTTGATGTAGAGAATTAGTGATGTCAACTATGAACGTTTTATAATCGTAGTGGGAATAAAATTGAAATATAATTTTGATGAAAAGTCAAATTGAAATGCCAATTGGTTTCCTTATTAGAAGAGAATTAAGTCTTCCCATAGGAAAACACTTGTTTTCTACTAACTACTCATATAAGAAATTATTCATTGTACATCGTACTGTATGTCAAGAATGAGTTAACACATGGATAATTACTAAACATTTTCAAATGTAGATGTTTAAAATGGTGTTATTTTATAATTTTTTTTTTACATAAATGTATTATTTATCATAATTTTTGCTGCCCTTATTCGGTAATTTGAAGGTTTTATACACATTTTCAACCGAATTGGCTGTAATTTAATATTCTTGGTTCTCACTTGGTTACAAATGTTCATACCAATTATGAATATGAGCCTATATTAAACGGTAGTCCCCAAATAATGGTAACCCAATACCCCCAATTTTCGGTATTTTGGGTGTTCGGACACGTTTTTCAACCCGAATTGGATATAATTTGGTATTTCTAATTCTCATTGTGTAGCAAAACTTCCTGCTAAAAATAATTAATATTTGTCGATTTCGGTATTTTAGGCACGTTTTTCAGCCAAATGCCAAATATATCAATTTGGTCACTTTTTTGATATGGCACCCAAATGGTATTCCAACATTTGTTACTTTTAGGAATTTACTATAATCTGGTGTCAAATGTACCTATAATAGCGCTTTTAATTTCCCAAATCATCTCGTTTGTTCGGATTCAAACAATAGTAGTTATATTGCAAAGTTCGCAAGACATCACCATTGTGACACCGGGCCTGATAGATAACGTAACCCGGCAACACGAAATTTCATTGGACTCAGTCTGCGTCAACGGGCCACCCGAATATATAACCTCTGAACGCCATGTGAAAGCTCCCGCTGAACATAATGGTCGATAGAGAACTCTCAAGGGGAGGGTGTTTGGACATCTTTGGCTCGATTTTGATTTTTCTGGATCTTATGGGGTGCCAAATCTTCCTACCAAAAATTAGCAATATCGGCTTACATTTTGATAAATATATATCCATTAGCTGCGTATGAAATATGAGCCCTAAAACATATTGTTATCTGTGGGCAACATTGGGCCACAAAGGGTTAAAAAGCCAGCACCCACCCAACTCTCCACACAAGTGTCCCTTTTAATTTGTTGTTGAAGTTCATAGGAAAAAGTTCAGTGTAGGACCCCGTTACAACGGTATAAATATTGTTTGCGGAAATCGTATTCCATTATATATTGGCCTCCAAATTTCAGCTGATAACGTTGTTTTTTATGTTTCTAAAAATCTCAAAAATTTAATATTTTTATCAAAAAATACTTCCTGAGGTATGAACTATAGGTCATTATTTAACATGCTTCGGAATATCCGATATCACTGTTTTATTGTATGATTTGTTGCCATTTTAAAAGTAACTTCATAATGCCTCTCTTATAGAAGTCCTGCTCTCTATTTGCAAAAAAGAAACTCTAGTAGTCGATTTTCACAATCTTCCTAGATACCAATTTTTTTATCATTAAAGACATTTTGTAATGCAAGAAAATTATGATAATCGGCTTGGTGCCAAGTCCGGACAGTATGCCGGATGAATTAAAACTTTCCAACGAAGCTCCCGAAGTTTTTGGTGAGTCACTATAGATATGTGTGGCCTAGCGTTATCCTGGTGGTACACAACATATCTCCTGTTGGCCAATTCTGGTCAATTGCTATCTTTAAACGGTGCAGATGTTGATAGTAGAGATCAGAATTTAGCGTTTGGCCATATAGAAGCAATTCATAATACATAATCCCCTTCTAGTCCCACCAAATGCATAGCAGAAATTTCCTGGCCTTTAGTCGTGGTTTGGCCACCGTTTGAGGTGCTTCACCATTCTTTGACCACGATCGTTTTCGCACAGGATTATCGTATATGATCAATTTCTCATCTCCAGTCACCATCCGTTTTAGAAATGGGTCTATCTCATTCGGTTTGGCCAAGGCTTCGCAGATGGAAATTCGATCAATCCTATTTTTATCTGTTAATTGATGTGGCACCCAAATATCGAGCTTCTTTTTCAATCCTGCTTTGTGTACATGGTTTAAAACAGTTTTATGGTCGATTGTTACGACTGCTAACATGCCGTTCAACATAGATCATTTCTCCGATGTTATCGAAATTTTCGACGACCGGTCAAATGGATTTTTATTTTCTTCAACGTAATATTTCTTGGAATCATTACACTTTCATTCATAAATGATATTTGTCAGCATCACTTGCATTATATTTGAATAGTAGTAACCTTTTATTTAATAATTCCCTAATATCCAACGATTTTTTCACAATTCAGTGTTAGCAACACTGATTGGGGGATAGTGATTTCTGCCAGCAAAAAGAGTCAAATAGTTGTTTGGAGACTTCTTGTTGTGGGGAGAGAGAGAGAGAGTCGATTGAGAGCTCGCGAGTATTTTTAATAATGGGATTTTCCTATTCATTATTATTGTGTACACAAAACACCATACTGGTCACACAACAAACCAAACGAACGAACACACACACTCACTCGTTTTGGTATACACACACGAAACAAATCAAGAGTGCGCCATACTACAATGGGGCTCTCCCATTCAAACTCTCTCTCCCGCTCACTGTGTTATTGGTCTGTATTCTCCATGGCCTGTTGACGATTGCCGTTTTTGTGAATGGGGAGCTTTGTGTTACTGATGTTGCTGTTGTTGCAATTGCCTTTGATGTTGTGTGTGTGTTGTTGTAATTCTGTGTAGACGGGGCTCCCAGCAGCAAATCTAGTCTGCTGTACATTGATATCATTTAGTCTTTAACATTCTCTTGATTCTGCGCGATCGGTAGTGTGACGCCGTTTCTTCGTGGCTTCGTTTTTTTGTTATTTTCTTGGCTTTATATTTTTTTAATTGTGTGTAATTCTTATACGATTTTGAATTGAATTTGAATTGATTTTCTTGTTGGAAGAGTTTTGTGATGTTAAAAATGGAATAAATGAAATATTGTGGTGTTTGAGAGTTAGCCAAGTTTAGAAAGATTTAAAAGAAGTGATTTTTTCAAGTGTTTGGCTCTGCCTTTTAAAGGTGGATAAGATTTGCCACCGTCCAAACAAAAAGTGAAAAAATAAATAATAAAAATTGGCCATATTGTTTTATGAAAAGTGTGTATTGTTGGCTTTTCTAAGAAATAGAAAAATCTTAACCCCACCGCGCTCTTCTCCCCGCACACCTTGCCGTGTTCTTATTTGCCACTGATCGATACTAAGTTCATTGATTTTGTTGTTGGTGTTGCTCCACGACTCTCCACAACAACAGTAGGCAGTAGCAGCAACAGCAAAAAAGGGGAGAAATAACAAACAAAATAAAATAGCCAAAGTGAAGTGAAGTGTGTAAAAGAAGAAGAAGAAGTCGAAGAAACAACAACAACTAGAAAAAGTTGCGCGAAAACAAAATAGATATTGTGAATGTGCAGACTAGAAGAAAAAGGAGGAAATCATTAAAGAAAACCATACAAAGAAAATAGAAAAGTCTGCAAGTCAAACCAGTGGGTTGTCCACCATCCCGCCCCCCATCAGTGTGTATGGTGTACGGTGTGTGAGTGAGTGTGTATCGACGAGTGTGAGTGCGAGAGTTCAAATGGAAGTGTTGCTGCTGATCATTAACCTTTTAGTGCTCAATCTCCGTAGCCACTCCAACAAAGCTAGAAGAAACATCTGTTCGTCGTCGTCGTTCGTTCGTCGGTTCTTAATGAGCAGCAATAGTTTGTTGTAGCCCCGCCAGCCGACCCAATTGCCAAGTTGAAAGAAAGAAACCAAACAAAAAACAACAACAAAACAAAAAAGAAAGGCGTAGGCAAGCCATTAATAATAATTGTGAAATAAAAAAAATAAGAAAAGGGAGGTAATAGAAAATTGCAAAAAAAAAATAATAATAATAATTGTTGCCATAAAGAAGAAAAAAAAATAGAATTCATAAATCAAATTAGAAGTAACGATTCTCAAAAGTGCCAAAATAGAAAATTAAGTGTTCAAAAAATGAAATAAAAAAGAAAATTGCACCAAGCCCTTTCACAACATTAGCCAACTCGCGAAGTGAAGTCAAAAGAAAAAAATCGCGCCTATTTTTATCAGCATTTCATCATCATCAGCGCCATTAACGCGTTTGGAAAATATACCGCGATCTCTAGTTGTATCTACAAGTTAAACCATTTGGTGGTCGTCCGCCTCTGATCATTATCAGGAAAGTGAACGTCATTAGACGCCTGTCCTGCCGTCCCCCTTTTTTCTTTTCCTAAAAACGAAACATAAAACAAACGCTTTGAGCTCCGGTCCGGCCACTACATTTATAGCAGCATCTGCAGCAGCATACGTCTTCGCAGCATCATCATCATTTCTTCTGTGTATTCTTAGAAATCCGAACAAACAAACACACATATCTATGTTTTTGTTTTCTCAATATCTAAATGTACACAACCGATCAACAGACATCCAATGGTTAACATAGAATAATAAAAAAAACGCCAAAGCAAAAACAAAACCGTCCGAACGCTGATCTTCTCGTATCCAATATTAAAACACAAACCGAAGAGCTCGTTTTTTTTCTTGTGTTGTCGCCAACAACATCATCCGCATATTGCCGCGTTTGCTTGCTGTCTCTTTGTCGTCGTCATCATCATCAGCATCTTCGCGTCGTTGTCGTAATATCGTAATAGCCGAAACAAGAAGAAAAAACACGAAACAAAACCTAAAATTTATCTAAGGCAAATTGCTGCCATTTTTCTTGTCGTTCGTCTTCGTGGATTTTTTTGATACGCGCCATTAAATTTAGTTCAGTTTTGAAGATTTCATTTCCTCAAAATCTATATTGTCAACGTTTGTTTGTTTATTATTTGTTGTTGTTGCTGCAATAATCAAAATTACGCATGAAAAACATTACCAGCTCCGGCACTTGCGGCAGCGGCCTGCTGCAATTGCAAAATAATTTGGTCGTTAGCCATCAATTGGAAAACGGCGATGATACAAAACAAAAAGGTAAGCGGAATTTAGATCAAAATAATTTTAAATATTTCAGAGAGGAGACATTAGTCGAAGGACCAAATTTATTTATTAACGAAGGACCAAATAACAGGTCGATAGGGGTCGCAATATTTGACATAGAGCCACACCAAATGTCACTACAACTTCTAGGATGCGTTGGGCGCCATTTCATATTAAAGGGAGTGTAATCTCATATTCCGGTGTTTTGGAGACTGGGGATCAATAAATAGGGTGACTTTAAGAGCCTAATGAACGTTTTTGAAAACAAAATCCAGAAAAATTAATATATTTATTTAAATTTAGTGCATACAATAAATATATTGGCAGATAGTAAACCAGCTATAAACACAATAACCACTAAAACTGTTAAGTCCAAACTGTATTAAAATGTATAAAAAACATTATTTTCTTGCGACATGGACTCGTATGAATCATAAGAGTTATAGGAAAATATAATAATAAATACACTCAGCAGTAGTGCCACCGACAATGTTATATTAGATGTAAATAAAGGCGGAAGTTGGCCAGAATGAACCGGATTAACAAACAGTGCGAGAAGCAGACAGAGGGTCAGAAGTATATGCCTCACATTCCCTCAACTTTTTCGGAAGCGGCAAAGAGGATAAAAAAGAAGATTCCCGTTGGCCGATAATAACAGAAAGCTGAGTCAAGCCAACGTCAAAGAAGACTATCACGAGAATCCATTGACGAAAGAAGGCGAAGCTGCCTTTGATATCAGGAAGTCGCAATCTTCCACAAAGGCCGCGAATGTCAAAAGTACCATCCGGATTTTTCAAAAAAGTACAGCAACAGATGGTAAGGAGCAGCCACATTATGCGAAGGTTGCCAGAAAACGCTATCGAGAAGAGTTCTGCTATACAGTGGCCGACGGAATTAGTGCGTTCGTAAGCTAAAATAGGAGACCCATCAAGAGGTGATGTACGCGATCAATAACAAGATCGCGAAGCACAACATGCTTCAAGGAGGAAGTCCCATTGATCTGGATAGCTGCGTTTTCAAAGGGGATTATTTAATGCTAGAATTTGAATCATAAAAACGCATAGTAGCTCTAAGGAAATTAGTGACAAGTATTGGGCCAATAGGTGAGACAGCCAAACTTAAGCTGGTCAGGAAAATATACATTCCTCAATTACAAAAGGCGACAGTCTTCGTCAGAGGTGAGAACAGCGTTTTGACTACGAAACGTATGCTTGAGGTCTTCGGTCTGCAGAACAAGACACTGATGATGAAGAAGAGGGAAGTCTTCCTCAGGGAGGAGAACGAGGAAGGGACTCTCCTTGTGGTAGGCTTACACAGGACTTCAATGGCAAGTCTGCCTAAGACCAAGGTCAAGTAGCATCACGTTTCAAACGCTGAGTAATTTAAAAGCGGAAAGACAAGGATTGGAGAAGGCGAAGCCACAGAAAGCAACGAGGGAAAATCACCCAGGGAGCCTCTACATATGGTACATAAGTGTAGGGAATCGAAAGTTAACTCTCTGACCTACTTCCTTCTCTATAGCGCACAACAGGTCACTCGCAGGCCTAAGTGTATATCCTTCCATTGAACTTATGGTGATAAACAGTATGGTCCATACAAATGAAAGTTTGGAGAATATTTCATGCAAATTTTCACTGAGACTATGCTTCAAGATAAAGGTTCCGTCTCTAGACCCTTTTTTGGTTATGACCACATTTTCCCACGATATGGCTGTAATTTGGAATTCCTTAGTGTTGATGCTGGCATGTTTGAAAACCTCACCATGACGTCACATAAGGCTGAATGTAACAATATATTTGGAGGAAATGATAAATATAGGCCCATGGAAATAGAAATTTTGAGAATTTAATTATTTTTTCATCAGTTGCAATATCTCCTTAACCATCCACTAGCTTAACCGCTGCTAACCCAAACTCACAGGATATTACAAGTATTCTAACGCTGCTGAAAAATCTGTTAATAGCTTTTTCAAGATGGACTATGGCAATTATCACATTAGCATCTCAATATACTAGAGTTGGGTAGCTTCAGAAGGAACTATTTTAATCGAACTATTCCGCAAAAGAAACGATCGGTACTAGGTATTCTTAGGTTCATCTAGTTCCATTTGCTGCAGTCGTTCATTTTTGCTCTCGTTCACCTAGTATCTTTTGATCCAATCGCTCATGTAGATCATCACATTTTTTAACCAAATTAACCGAGGTGTATCAATGAACAATTGAACTAAAAGCAACTAAATGAATGATCAATAGAGTTGGGTAGTTTCGGAACGAACTAGCTCATTGGAACTTTTCCGATAGAGGAGCTATATGAACTAGGTCCAATTCTGTAGTTCCCATAGTTCCTTTTTTCTTATCTCGCTCCTTTCACTGGTCTTGTTCCTTTATTAAAAATATATACACATGTGCCTATTTATGAAAATAAAGTATATAAAAAATAAATATTTGGTGCTTCCGGTCCTGCAGTAGAATAAATAGAAATCTTTATTTGGTATTGAATGGGAGACACGTTATGACGGTATACACCCCATATAGCGCCAAATTTTCGGTATTTTGGCCAAATATTCGTTTTCTCCTATCAGAAATTGACCATGACATATTCCGCTAATAAATGTCTAGATCAATTTTAAGAAAATTAAAGTACCGCCTCCTTCTGTAGGGCATAAAAAGGCTGGCCCGACCCAATTTATCGAAATCCAAAGAGATTTATAGTGTGTGACGACGTTACAATTCAAATGCGGTTTTGTCTGACGTATTTCAGAAATATTTCAAAAATGCTGTTTATCACATTTCATTGTTATCGCCATAGCAAGATAAACATTAAACCTCCAAACCCATTTATATCTGGACTTATTTCCACAAGGTGTCACAGAATAAAATAATATTTATATATCTAACTGAACCATACACTGATCTCATCGCAGATGATATTTTTATCTCGGTCGTCTACACTTCAATTTTCGTCCAAATCAAAAGAGAATTCTCCATTTTGCTCTCCATATGACTTTATGGAACTACATCAGCAGCATCTCTTGGCAAAAAGTCTCCGTTTCTGGTTTTTGCATCTGCAGCTCTTTCAAAGTTTCATTACTTTTGCGTATATCTTTTGTGGTTATGATCGCGTTCTTTTATTTCAGCTGAGCGCATCTCTTACTAATGTTCGGAGTCTGACTAGCAGCTAGCTATAGATAGTTTCCTCTGTTTAACTTCTACAGATGTGTTTACGTATCTGTGTTTTTTTCTTCTTTTTTTTTTACTTTTTGTGTCATCGTTTCAGTCGTGCCATGCTGGTTGTTTGTCTTTCTTGTTGTTGTTGTTGTTGCTGTCGTTATTCTTGTTTATTTTTTACCTGTTTGTCACAATCAACTGTTTTGAACAACAACAGCAACAAAAAATAAATAAACATGGAGACGGAAAAGGTGACTTGTTTCTCAGTTGAATTCTCATTCAACCGTGGCCGAGGTGTAGATCAGCGCTACTTTAAATGCAAATGCACTGTGAGATTTTTTTTGGTGTTGAATGAAAATAAAAATGAAGTTGAGTAGATATTTAAATTTAATATTAACAGCAATCAATTAGTGATCGCCTATAACAATAGCTTTAAATTCGAATGCTACATAATCGAGAATCACAGGGAACTTCTGATGCTTCTTGATAAATGTGGAAACTTCATAGCATAAGGTGACAAGACAAAAAACTAATTGAAATTGAGTAACACATAAAGGAGGACTACTACATCTATTTCTGGTCTAGTAATCCAGCAAGAAATCCATGCGCTCAAACCAATTATCGAATCGTATTTTTTCACTCTTCCAAAACATGGATTTTGAACGCTTCAACAATATTTTTCTGACTTCACTTAAGGGTCCGCAATAAAATTCAATTATTTACCATACCAAAAAGAACCTGGTTTTAGGACGATGTGTAAGACCTCGCATTTTCATGGCACACAATGATGCCTATAATCTTGTTCGTTTTTCGAATTTCTCCGAAGGGTTTAGGCAACTTATGAGTGTATACCGCTCAGAAGTGACAGTTCTACATTGCTGAAGCGGAGGAGTCCCCATCTGGCCAGTCTCTTCGAAGAAACAATAATTTGCATCGAAGTTTTTCTACCACAAACAACTTTCGTTAGAGTTGAAGCGTCTCCGATCTCCGGTAATGGCCCGTCATATCCGACGAAAAGTATTCTGAAGTACCTCGATTGTATTTTTTTCAAAATTACTGAGCACCAATCAACACGACCTGTTTTGAGCTATTTTCAAATTGTGTGGAATCCAATGAGAGTGAACTTTTTTTTGTAAGGTGATGCGTGTCACACGACGACCCTGCATTATCATTTCGCCCCCGGCATCAGTGTTTTGTGGAACAAAAACACAACACATGATGCATGCATTCCACTGGAAATGTCAAATGGTGCCACCAATAATTGTATAGACCAAAATAAATATACTAACCCACGTATGAATTACCAGAGTGATTATTCTTTGCACTTTCCTTCGTTGCCTCTACCGACTCATATGAGACCACTATTTGCGTTCATTGACGGTTTCTTTGTACCAAACCTCAAACAATCTCACCCTCTTCATATTCACAGGTTGTCTGAAGGGTTTGATTCCTGTAGAAACGGTTACAACTGAAGTCGCTGCAGGCACGCTTCGTACCTTCCTGCGGAGTTTTGATTCTGTACTTTGTGAGTATCCCTAGTTGCCATATTGGAAGAGGTCATGACAGTACTTTTGCACTAATATAAGGTGCTTCCTAATTCGTTGAAATTTCTTTTCGGTTATAGAACTAGGGCATATCGTTGGTATAACCATCAAACCGATAATCCTTACTTCCCATTGCTTCTGGGGTTTTGTGATTTTTATTGCTCTAGTCAGCAGTTGAGTTTCCAAAGTAGCTATTTCGTAGCAGATGTAGGATCATGGGATTGCCGATAGCAGTCGTCGAAAATGTGAAGTTATTCATCCGTTTGCACCTCTGCCTTTAATG